GTAATCCCCTGCTCAAATTCAACTCAAGTTAGCACTGAATATGGCAGAGATGATATGTGAATTCAAAGGCTTAGTCACAGAAGGTATTGTAGCTCTTGCTCTGGTCTCCTTGATTATTCACTTGCTCCCAAGTAAGTCAGCTGCATGTTTGTGAGGACATTCAAGTAGCTCTGTGGAGAGGCCCATGTGGCCAACAATCTTTGCCAACTCATCAAACATGTAAGAATCACTTTGAAAGTGGATTCTCCATCATCAGCCAAGGCTTCAGATGAACAGTCCTTGCAAATACCTGACTGCAACCTTTTAAGAAACTGAGACAAACGTTCCACAGTAACACTTGAATTCCTGACTCTCTGAAATTATGAGATAGTGAATGATTTTTATCTTAAGTCACTAAATTTTGAGGATATTTATTATGTAGCAATAGTTCATATCATCAATCAAGTATTTATGCTGCTATGCAAAATATCCTGTTTATGGGCTGAACCATGTAATCACTCAAATTAATGTTTGCTTTATAACTTTAATGTTTTAATAGCCTAACATGTCATAAATTTGACATCCTATAATACAGTGTTCTCACAAAAACAAGAATATGCCCGGGCCAGTGAGATGGCTCAGTGGACTAAAGTGCCTGCTTAGGCAAGCTTAGGCAAAGTGTGGGAACCGTGGTTCAATCCATGGCACCACATGCCATGCCAGCCCTGTCCCCAGAGTAGGCTGAGCTGATCACAGTCTGGGCCTAGTGATAACACTGTAATCCCAGCACTGCGGAGGCTGAAAGCAGGAGGATTGCCAGGAGTCCGAGCTGCATCGTGAAACCCTGTAACAACCAAATACATAAACAAAACAAAACAAAACAAAACAAAACAAAAATATGCCAATCACATTTAATAAACATTCACTAAATTCAGAAGTATCATTCTAACTCTACAAGTATACAGCCTCTGAAGACTAAATCTTAAAAGAGCAGGCTCAGGGGCTGGGGGTTCACAATTGAGGTTGGGTGTGGTGGTGCATGCCTGTAATCCCAGCTCTTGGGAGGCTGTAAAGAGGCAGGTCACTATGAGTCCGGTCTAGTACTGAGATCCTGACCACCCCGCAGATCCTTCCCTAAAAAATAAAAAAAATAAAAAAAAAAAAATCTTAAAAAAAACCAGAACATCTAAATAGAGCAATAAGGACAAAGAGGATTGAAGTAGTAATCAAAAAATATCCCCAAGGATGGGGATATAGCTCAGTGGCACAGTGCCTGCCTGACAAGCACAAGGTCCTGAGTTTGATCCCCAGTACCAAAAAAAGAAAAAAAAATCTCCCCCAAAGGAAAAATCTATGGCCAGATGCTTCTCAGATGAATTCTACCAAGCATTTAAAGAATTAATGCAGGGCTGGTGAGATGGCTCAGTGGTCTAAAGCACCTACTTAGAACAAGCTTAGCAAAGTACAGGGACCATGGTTCAATCCCCCAGCACCACACACCAGCCAGCCCCGCCCCCTGGTGGGCTGAGCTGGCCACACACACACACAAATAAATAAATAAAAATAAATAAAATTAAAACCTAAAAAAAAAAATAAAGAATTTATGCAATTCTTCCAAAACTAAAGGAGTATTTCCAAAACTCATTTTACGAGTTTACTACCACCATATCAAAGCTAGGTAAGAAAATAAGAAAATGTCCCAATGAACATCTAATATCCCTGATGAAAAGACGGAAAAATTCTCCACAAATATGAAAAAACCAAATTCAATACCACATTAAAAGGATCAGACACCATGATCAATTATCTGAATTAGAAATTAAGAAAACAATCCCAATAGCAACAAAAACAATTATTAGGGGTAATCTAAGGGAGTGAAAGATCTGAAGAATACAAATTATAACTCACTGATCAAAGAACCTAAGGGAAGCACAAATAAACAAATGATATACTATGTTCATAGACTTGGAGAATTAACATTGTTTATTCATTTTTTAAACATTGTTTAAGTGTTTGCACTAACCAAAGAAATCTCCACATTAAACACAATCACTATCAAAATTCCAGCAGTGTTTTTTTTTTAACAGAAAAAGAAAAAATCCTAACCTTTGTAGAGAAATGACAAAAGACATTAAATAACCAAAGTGAACCTGAAAAACAAAAGAACAAAGCTAAAGTTACCACACTTCTTTATCTCAAACTATATTACAAAGGTAAAACAGTAATGGTATTATCATATAAGTAGACATACAGGCCAATGGAACAGAACAGAGTTCTGAAATAAACCCTTTATAATCAGTTGGTCTTTACAAGAGCACCAAAACGTGCAATGGGGAAACGATGGTTCTTCAACAAATAACACTGGAAAAACTAGCTCTATACATCAATAGCATGGGACTGTATACTTATCCACAAAAATTAACTTGAAATGAATTGAAAACTTAAATACAAGCTCTGAAATTGTAAAATTTCTACAAGAACATATAAAGGGAAGGTCTTTAATATTGGTTTTGCCAATGATTTTTGGATATGGCACAAAAAGTATACTTATACTCCAAAAGTATAAACAAGCAAGACTATATAAACTAAAAAGCTTCTGTAAACCAAAGGAAACAATCAACACAATGCAAAGGTGTCAGGCCTGGTAGTGCACACCTGTAATCCCAGCACTCAGGAGGCTGAGGCTAGAGGATCCTTGTGAGTTCAAGGGTAATATGAAATGTGCAGCAAAACCCTGCCTCAAAACAATAATAAAATAAAAAGAAAAAAGAAAAAGACAAGGCAATCAATGGTAAAGGAGAAAATACTTCCAAACCACATATAAGGGATTAATAATCCCAAATGTATGAGTCTTTCATATACTTTAACAACAAATAAATAAATTGACTGAAAATGGGCAAAGGACCCGAATAGACATTTGTTTTTTTTTTTTTAATTGTATTTATTTGTGTGTGTGTGTGTGTGTGGCCAGCTCAGCTCACAAGGGGGCGGGGCTGGCTGGCATGTGGTGCCGGGGGATTGAACCGCAGTCCCTGTGCTTTGCTAAGCTTGTTCCAAGTAGGTGCTTTAGACCACTGAGCCATCTCACCAGCCTGACATTTCTATTCTATAGACACATAAATGACCAACAGGAACATAAAAATACACTCAGTATTACCTCTCATCAGCAAAATGAAAACCAAACCTGAGATATCTCAAATCTTAGAATGGATATTATAAAAAAGACAAGAGATTGTTGAGGGTGTGGAGAAAAAGGAATCCTTGTATAATGTTAGTGGGAATGTAAACTGGTATACTATGGAAAACTGTATGTAGGTTCTTCAAAATATTAGAAATAGAGGCTGGGGAGATACCTCGCCAGTCTAAGTGCCTGCCTGGCAAGTGCAAAGACCTGGCTTCAATCCTAGTACTGCATGCTGTGCTAGCCTCAGAAGCCTGGGTGTGCATTCTGGCCACTGAACTGGGCGTGGTGGTGCATGCCAGCATTGGGGAGGCTCATACAAAAGAATCACTACAAGTCTGAACTGCAGTGAGACTCTGTTATCCAATAACTAAATGAAATTTTTTTTAAAAAAAATACAAGTTTTTCTTTGCCTGATTCATATACATGGTTTTGGTGCATTCTCTCTCATATGGGTATGTGTGGGTAAATAAAGATAGACTCAGCACTTTAAAATATTTTTTTGTTAGATGCAAAATAAACTATAGTTTTATCTGTATTTGATTACTACTGAGTTTGAACTTTTAAAAAACAATTACTAATGTTTTATGCATCTTTTTGGACTTGTATATTCATGTCCTTTTATTTTTACTGGTCTCAAAGTGTTCTTGGCATGTTAAAACTTTAAACATTAAACCTCTAATATGTATTACTAACACTTTTTCCCAGGTTGTAATTGCTCTCTTGACATGAAAATTGAAATTTATGGTCAAATCAACCTGCTTTGTAAAGTTCTTCCAATTCTTTCATAATTAGAAAGCTTATCTTTAGATTAATAAAACATTCACTTGTATTTTTCTAGACTGTTTACGGGTTTTAAAAATACATTTACTTATTCCTTATTGGAGGAAAAAAGTTGAGTCTTTTCCTACATGGTTAATCATGTCTCCTTCACTTCTATTGAAAGCTATGCCATTGATCTGTGAGGCAGGGCTCCATCTTGTGAGACCCCTGGCTAAACCTCTGAGTGCTGAATTTACAGGTGTGTGCCACCTAAACTCAGCATCTAAGGAATTCTCATAAGTAATATGTGGGTATGTTTAATGAGCTTTGTAATTTCTTTCATGGTCTGTTTTGGGGCTACTGCTACACTGTATTTGATTACTAAGTCCTATCCCCTCATCAAGAACCACTACATTTTCCTTCAAAGAGCCCATTTCTTCCAAAGATACCTTTGCTCTTTTTTCATCTTTTTTTTTTTTTTTTTTTTGTGGAACCGGGGAGCGAACTCAGGCCCTTGCACTTGCCAGGGAAGCGCTTATTCCACTGAGCCATCTCCCCGGCCCCTCTTTTTTCATCTTTATCACAAAGAAAACTTTGCCTTATAACCACAACAGGACTGAGCTTAAACAATCACATTCCTGAGGGCTGAGAACAAATGTACAACATAAAATCATGCAAATTAGATCAATGGGATTAGCATTAAGTCAGTGGTGGCCTAACAGCTTTAATGTGAGAAAAACATGAAAACAGTCAATTGCCTTACTCATGTACTTTCCATTATGAAACTGCACTGTAAGTGAACTCTAGTCTCTGCTCTGAGCAGTTTACAACCTAAATGAGACCTGTATTCATGATTGAATACTGAGTGTCTAACAAAATAAGCATGTACAAAGAAGGAGAAACTCAGTGCACACTAGGATGTGCTTCAAAGTTATATATATATGAGGTGGGTTAATGGTCTTTCTTTTTTGTTGTTGTCTTTTTGAGGCACGGTCTCCTTCCTCTGAAGTTCTGGCCGGCCTTCAGCTCACTTTGTAGCCCAGACTGTTCTACAACTGGCAGTAATCCTCCTGCCTCAGTCTCCCAAGTGCTGGGATTGCACGCCTGCGCCACCATGCCCGGCTAATGGTGTTTCTTTAAATGTCGAAGAACTTCTAATTGGTCTCCCAAAACGCACCAACTTACATTAATCTATCTTCAGTCTGAGAACATGGTAGCATGGCCAGGATGGACGAACCTAAGCGAGGCAGCCAGCCAGGGCGCAGGCGCAGCTGATTAACAAGGGCCTGACACCGCAGAATGGACGGAGCGGTAAGCTGAGCGATGACACGCGTGTTAGGTGATGAAAATCTGATGAGAGACCAAATACAAACCTTTTCCTGTCAGGCTTCTCATCTATAAACCACTTCCTGGAGTTGGTGTTTAAAGGCTGGGGAGAGCTTTCCAGAGCGCAGGTGAGCAGCGCCCCCAGGGCCATCCTCTCCCTCGGCCAGCCACGAACGCCGGCCTGACGTCAGCAGAGCGTGACGTCATCGACGCTGACGCAAGTTCACGGGGTGGGGCCTCGCCGCTCCCCTCAGAACGCCGTCAGCTCCCGCGAGCCACGAGTTGGCCGCCGCCCGTTTTCGCGGGAGGCTCGGACAGTCAGGGCAGCGGAGGCCGGAGCGCTGCGGGAGTCCAGGAGCTGCGGCCTTCTTCCTTCGGGCCCTACTCGTCTCCTGTGAGGCCTAGCTGTGGCCCCAGCGCCGCCGCTCGGCGCGGTGACGCGCACGCAAGCTGGGGCGCGCGCCCGTTCCCTGAGAACCCGGAAGTGCGAGGGAGAGCGGAGCCACGTGGGTCGAGCTGGAGCGCAGCTCGCATGGGGGAATCTATCCCGCTGGCCGCCCCGGTCCCCGTGGAACAGGCGGTGCTGGAGACGTTCTTCTCTCACCTGGGTATCTTCTCTTACGACAAGGCCAAGGACAATGTGGAGAAGGAACGAGAAGCCAACAAGAGCGCGGGGGCCAGCTGGCTCTCGCTGCTGGCGGCCTTGGCGCACCTGGCCGCGGCCGAGAAGGTCTATCACAGCCTCACCTACCTGGGGCAGAAACTAGGTACCTCCGCCCCGCCCCCTGCCCCTTGAGGTGGAACGAAAAGGGGGTGTATTGCCCCGGCGGCAGTGGCCTGAGCTTCCTGCCTCCGCGCCGCTGCAGCGGCCGGCTCGACGCGGTCTCCTCCCAGCGCTCCTTCCCTTCCCTCGGCTTCCACAAGCCCCGCCCACCGGCCCGCGCCGCGGATAGGTCGGCAGATCCGGCGGAAGCTCTTGCAGGGCCGCCCCCAGCCCGAGGGGTTTACTCTTGCTTCGTGCATGGACTGGTGTCATAAGTGGAAAGTTAACCAAACTCTGTGTCCTCGTTCTTCCAACTAGTGACACTGCGGTCAGGGAGTAAAACTTGGCAGTTCACCGTAGTTGTACTAATAAAGACTACTTGTTTGGTCTCTTACGGTTAAGGCCCCCGAATATTAGAAATGGAGTCCTATCCCTCTTCATAGTAAATTAGTACATATTTAATGAATGGAGAATAAATGAGTCCTGGGCAGGGAAGGCAAGAAATAACACCAAACCCTAGAAGAGGCTAAAGGAAAAGTAGTAGATGCTTTTAGCATCCTGCGTTAAATCTTGCCCATGAAAATAAGACAGGATCTCATCCAATCGACTTAAGTAGTAGCAACAACTGATATGAGCGGTTTTAGGAAGTAACCAGTGTAGGTGCAAGGGCTATACAAAGTATTGCTTATAATAATGACAAATAATCCAAGGATATTTGGGGTGTTTAGTGCTCTCGCCTATTTTGGACATGTTAATTATGAGAGGAACAGGAGCCTAGTATGAATGAAGAGCACATATATAGTAAAATTGGGTGTAAATTTCATTTTGATTTACCCCTTACATTGCTTGTAGAGACCACTTACTGAGCTTTTGGTAAACTAAAGGGGCAAGTGCTTACCAGATCTCTGTGCTGTAGTTGTTGAAATAACTTGTTTGGTGTGTAGATTTATCAGCAGAAAGCTAGTCAGAGTTTCACTGTGTGTGTGTGTGGTCTTTTTACAGTGGCATCTCTCACCAGTGTGCAATTGTTACTATGTTATAGTTCTGAGAATTAGAAAATCATATATGCCATTGCAAAGTGATAGAGCCCAAACCTGAAGCCTGCCTTGAATTATTAGGTTGAGTATGTTCATATAATTTGTTTAAAATGTGTACATATATTATAACTTATGTTTTGTGT